GGGGGGTGCGCCCCACGCCCTCCGGGCCGCGCATCCTTTCCTGCCCGCGCCCTGCAGACCCGCGGCCGGACAGGAACCCGGCAGGAAACGCCCACGGCGGGCCTGAGCTGCTGGGAGAGGGAGCGGAGCCCCGAAGCACCCACCCCAGTCCGCAGGCGGAACCCGGGTTTGTCTGGCGAGCCAGCGGCCTCCAGATTTCAAGTCCTATCACTTCTCCCCCATTATCATTTTTTTCTTGGGAGCCACAAAAGGAAATCATTGAGGTGCTTTCACTGGTGGATAAACTTGTTTCCAAAGAAAACGGTTCGTGTAAAGTGCATCTTTTTCTTTCTCAGGGGCCAGAACTGTTTAATGAAAAAAATAACATTTGCAAAACCCTGATCTACAACTGTTAGATAGCAGGGACACCTTGTTTTCCAGTACACTGTAGTGTGCGAAGTGTACCATTTGCTTTTCTGCACACAAAATATACCACTTCACCGACAAAAATAATGTTGTAATGAAACATCTAAGGGCAGTGGGGGCCTCTGGGGAGCAGGTGTTCAGAAGAGGCACCAGCAAACTTTCTGAGATTGTTAGAAGTGTGTTCTATCGGTCCGAATGTGAGTAATGTGGATTTATTTATTATTATTATGTATTTGTCAAAACTCATCCAATTTAAGATATGTGCATTTCACTTTGTAAACTCTACCTCGAGTTTTAAAACTTAAAAATACAGCAGTTGCAGGTTCTTAGAAATCATTGATTTTTAAAACAAGATAACACAATCGTTCAGTTACCAGAATTATCACCGACACCAAGTTTGCTAAGTACTAGTCTTGTCTAGTAATTAATACTAATTAGCACTAATTCCACCCGAAGGTCATCATCCAGTTTCATTGGCAGTAGGGATGATCTAGTAGATATTCATTTATCAACTCAAATTAAGATTCTCTTCAAATACATGCCACAGTCCCCGACATTTTTTAGTTTTGAATACAACAGCTGAACGGACAGAATGGGTTTTGGAGTTAGATAAAGCTGAGATTAATTCAGGCCTGTCTCTGAAGAGTTTGGCAATTACTTATTCCTTCCTTTCCTCCACAATAAAAGGTATATACTAATAGTTAGATTGAAGTTTGCAGTGACTGAATGAAAAATAAAAAGCAATTTGCTCTGCATTAATGTTTCTGACACTCTTCCCAGAAACCCACCCTTGGGAAGAGGGAGGAACTAACGCCATGTGTAAGTGGCTGGATGGGTGGACTTGCTCATTCTGAGATGTTTCATCATTTTTGCCTTAGTGAGATTCTTGCCAAACTGTACAAGTGTCCTTATCAAAGAGTTTAAAATGGTTTATACTTTTCTAAGAGAAGGCAACATAGATGTGCAGGGAAAAACCAAAAAGCTTAAAAAAAAAGGAGAGAGAGAGAAGCTGTTGGACTATCTTGATCTGGTCTAGTGATCCTCTGCAAATTGTACAAAATTAACCTGTCACCTCAATGATACCCTTTAAGCAAATGGAGATTTTATTTCCCTAGGTAATTCTCTGAAAGAAAAACTTTACCTTACATGATTGTCCAGACACAGGGAGAAACATTAACAACCCAATTTTCACACTATCATAATAAGATCTTAAGTGTGTGCTAACCTGACTTTTCTGGAGTGCTTCCCATATCATGGACATGTTCCATGTTTTGGAATTTACATGAAACAGTGCAGGTCTCAGAGCTAAGTAAGCTCTTTAAAAGGGCACATTTAGGTTTCCGAGTCAATTTATGACACGTTATAGTCCAGAAATCACTCAATGCAATTCATTGAACTAGAAAAGTATCATGTACAATCACTAACCTAGCTCACTGGGAATTCAGTGTTTTATGAGGGCCCTCCCTGGTGGTGCAATGGGTTAAAGCACAACTTCCCACTTCAGCATGAGTTTGACACACACCCCCCTCCCCAGAGGTGACCCACGTGGTGCAGCAGACCTCTCCTGTACTTTATCCATCTGCCTGTTCTGCTCCCTGCTCTGTCTCTGGTGAATCCTCTCACCGCCCCTGCACCTCTGGCCTGTACCCCAGTTCTGTATGCATAAATAAACAAATCTTTAAAAAAACAGAGTTGTATGACTCTTGAATGTGAAGAAACCCAATTTTTCTATTTCCAATTGCATCAAGACATTTAAAGAGTAAGACAAACTATTGTCAAATATGTGAGACAGTAACTTTTAAGGAGCTTAGAAATAATAGAATTGCATACTAGAAACACATTTTTCTAAATCTTGAACAAAGTATGATTTTTTGGTTTTGAGGGTGGGGTAGATGAGTAGGAAGAGGTAATGAAAGGAAATCCGGACAAGGTAACTGTACCCCAGGAATAGGAAGGGGCACACAGCCACTGCTCCCCTTTCTCACTGCCTTCCACCAACGGGTCTGTGTAAGCCTGGCTTTCCAGCTCTTCTCTTCCACCAACCTGAGCCAGGCCCCTCCATCAGAATGAAAGGCTACCCTCGGCCCTCCACACCATGGCCCTTAAGCCACCTCCTCAGCACCATTTCATTCCATCTTCAACTGGGGTTGCTCATGTCTGTTTCCTTAAAGGCCACCTTCTTAAAGGCAGAGATTATAACATATTCCTTTTGTACTTCCCCCCAGGCTCTGTGACCCACAAAATTCATCACTCAGTCGATAAAAAGTGTCTTTAAAAAAAAAATTGTTTGAGAAATAAAGCAGGATAAAGTGGAGTCACATATAAATAGGCATGTACAATTGGAGTTCATTCATCCAGTAAATATTTACTACTACACGTTGTGCACCAAGCCCTGTCATGGGATCTGAGGATATGTCAAGGAACAAACCAGATAAAAATTACCCTTGTGGAGCTCACTACCCTCTAGATTTATCATGAGGGTAGTGTTGACAATAAATTTATATAAATTCAACCACATCTATTGGCAAAAAAAGATATTTACATAGTTTAATAATAGTTTGCTGTAATGCAGCTTTTCAAAAAAATCTGTTGTTGATATGTAGTTTTTGTCATATATTACACTTACTATATTTATGAGATATTTATATCCATGCGTCAATCAACAGGGGTTCTATTAATAGACTGTATAGAGTACTTTATTGGCAATTTAGGAGAGTTTGAGGATCATTTTGAGCATGCTTGATTTCATCCTTAGCCATAGTCTTTAAAAACCTAACCACCTGATAAAATGAACTCTACTGAACCAAAATGAAAATCTGAGATTGTTAGACAAAGGAGAGTCATTTAAACTACTGGAGCATGAGAATGACATGATGAATCCACATCTGGCCAGAGTAGTCTGGTAATGGGGAACAAGAGGTAATACATTCACATGAATACATATGGTCAACAACAGTGAAATTCACATCAAGAATTTTCTTAAAAACAGTTCATGAGCCACTGATATTCTTTTAAAACAGCCAAAACTTTAAGAGCCTGAGATTATAAATATTTATAATCAACTCTTGATCATAAAACTTAGAAGAAAAAATCTTGGCATACTGGCTTATTCTGACTAAAGGTTTATCATTTCCACATATTTTTCAAACAGTATTTAAAAAGAATACCAAGAAAAAACATTTTCAAATTTTGCAGTAATTTTACCCTATATACATTAATGACAATCATTTAACCATGTAAACAATCTTTGCTTGTACAATGTAAAAAAATTTTGACAGTATATAACCAGAAATATTCCAGTAACAAAAAGCTACAGATTTATGTTCCTAAGAGCAAAGTTAGGAAAACAAAAACAATAATTATACCAGTGATAAAGCACCAAGACAGAACTTTTTTGCACTTAGGGCGTGATTGGTTGTATTTAAACATAACCTCTACCAATAAGAAAACCAAAATAACTCCTTACTTGGCAACAACAACAGAAAGATAAAAGCAGATATACGGCGATCAGCAGACTGTTAAGACCCACTAAAACATAAAACAATAAAATCAATCATATTTGTTTCTAATTAATGAGACATTTGCAAAATATATTCTTGTCATTTTTCTTCCTTTTTAGTTCACTTTATTTAACTCAGATTGCTCTGTTTTTGTTAATCTGTTGTCACTCTAATGTAACTAAGTTCTCTTGAATGATGAGAGTTTGCTATAGTTCAAATCACTGGAGCTAGATAAACTAGCTCAACAATTTCAACTGCAGCTTACTCCAAATGGTAAAATAGACTTTAGCACTTTTAAATGTCTGTAATTTTTAAAAACTTTAGGCAACTGAGATAACTGTGTGTGTGTGTGTGTGTGTGTGCAAGCATGCATGCATGCACTTGAGAGCAAACCTGTGAGAGTAAGTGCTAACATAGAGTTAATCTTACACTATGACCCAAAGGGCTTGGGCACGCAGACACTAAATCTTCCCCCACAACAGACCCATGCCTGAGCAAGTACGGAGTTAGGAGCTCTCTAACCACAAGGTAGAATCAGTTCTAGGTTTGAAAACAAGACCAAAGACAAGGTGCCTCAGTCACAGTACTGGGGTTACAAGCAGTGATGGCCACTTTGCAGGCAGGATGTGGCTTGACTCTTCTTGCACTTGGAGGGCTTCCTTGGGGCTGCAACTTCCGGAAGGAACATTGTAGCAGCCTTTGGCACCACACTCGAAATGTCTTAGGGATCCCAATTGTGAGCCCGGGTATCCCTTCCTCCTGTTCCAAATAATTCTCTTAATAAAGATATTGTCCCTTGTGGAGGCTTGGCCAAAAGCCATCACTACCTTTCACTTCCACCTCAAGTCTCAGAAAGTCTCCTTCGTCCCTAAGGGGTCCCTGAGTGTGAGGTAATGCCACCATGCTGTGTGCTGTCTAGCAGTCACAGATGAAGTCAGGCAGTCCACTTATAAACTCAAGCAACCTAAATTCAACATTAGCCGGTTCTTGTTATCTCAGTAATTCTGTTCACTGAGATAGTTTCTCCACAAAATTTATTAATGTGTGGAGCAAAGAAAAAAATATATAGGTGGAATCTGATGGAATTTTTTAAAGTTTAGTTTTGAAACTCCTTAAAGGAAGGTAAAGGAGACATATTATACTTTCTATTTTCCTGTCCTTGGCTTTGAGGTAAAAAAAGCACCAAGATTCCTGTGAAATTAGTGAAAGGCTCTCCTTGGCCCTCCATCTGACAAGCATTCTTGGGAATTCCTGAGCCATCTACTTTCGAAATTTGAATCATATCTCTGGGCATGTCTATACAGCTCTTTAAGTCAGGTTACAAATCCACAGCATTTTTAAAACAAAATGACATAGCTGCATTCTTTAAATGCTAGTCATGAAATCATCACGAAAAAGAAAAATATCATGTTATATATTTCTGTAAGTCAAATAAAGTTCTCCATGTCTAAGGAGCTTTATTTGGTTTGATGAAGATATGTTGATAAATACTCCCAAAAGCACTTAGGGGAGCTGCCTAGAGCATTCTGTGGTTCGATATTTTATTCCAATGTTGTTCAGTTCTTAAGCTACCCTGTGGGTATGAGTTGTTTCATGAAGACCATCTGAAATGGGCATTTATTAAACCTCATTTATAATTCTGTGAATTTTGATCACATGAAGATAATGATCTAACCTGTCCAAACATGCAGCTTCTCTGTTTTCCCCCCATGAACTAAATTTGCTTCTTTAAAAAAAAAAAAAAAGTTAAACTTGAGGGTTCAAGTTAAAATCCACCATATTTTAAGCTACACTCTGAAGGTCCTATACAGATATAGCACAATTTCAAATTCATGTAGGCATCCATTTTTCTGGATTTTCCTATATCTACCCTAAATAAGCTTCCTGGACCCTAATATTTAGGGAGGAGTAAAAGGGTTTTCTATTGTACTGCACAAGTCCAGTAAATTCTGTCTTTCAAGGTTTACTCTTAGCTCAATGTTATATAAGCCCTACATGATGCAAGTATTTGGATAAGAAGTATTTCCAGTACAAAGCCCTTAGCTCTGTGTCATAAATAAATTTGGGTAAAACCGCAAGCCTTCCACTGAATCATCTCGGCAAAGATGCCCCATCTTCTCTGCAAGAAGCAACCTAGGAATCAAGGGGTAAAAAACATAGTCAGTGTCCATTCAGAAACACAGACACAAGATGTAGTGAAAAGCACGGATACCACTTACCTTTCTTTAGCCAGCAGGACGGACATTCCCACCAGTTTGGCAAACTCTTCTGAGGTTAGGGATCCCTTTTCTGAAACCTAATAGAAACACAAAGCAGAAAATAATAGCATCTAAGTTTAGCCCACATAGGTACAAAACTAGAAAGAATGTGTACCAACATACTTAGGAAATTATTTTCCAAATCCTGCACTGAAACCCACAGAATACTCATATAGAACTAAATCTTCACTAATGCTTAATTCTACAACAGCTAACAAACTCAGAATGTAGAAGAAGCTAAGAGATCATGAAGCCCTCCATAATGTAATAAAGGCACTGTGCTAAACCTAAAAGGAACTATTGGATATTCTGAGAAGAAACATAACAAGTTCTAATTCAGTTTATATTACTTGCTCCAGAGGGGAAACATATATAGATTTAATTTTAAGTATATCAATGCTGTTAGGTGTTTCATCTAGTTTAAAATAAGAAGTATAGTAAATCTGATTCTTTCACATTACACAGGTTCACTGTAGAAACTATAAGGGCAGCAATATTTCTGTCCCAGTGAGCAACACGAGCAGCTCAGTATGTAAAACCCAACTACACCACAGTGGCTTTTCATATTTCTGGCTTTTCATATTTCTTGCAGTGGTTATTTCATAAAATAAACAACAACATTTTATAATGTTGTATATGCAGGTATATGGGAAGGAAAAGTCCAATCATGGGTAGCATTCTGATAACAAAGTTAAAAACCTTGTCTTTAGACAGAGATTCACTAGCAAAATGAGCACCTAACAAATTCCTAAAAATGTTACATGTGTCAGTAAGTCTCAAAAGGGTTTCAACATATAATTTTGACTCATGTTTATTTATGATTAATGATAAACGGTGTTTAATCGGGTTTAGAAACATAACTTTCAGTCAAGTTAAATTCAGAAGGAAATGCTGACTCTCAAGCTGCTTGGCAGCATCCGGGTCTTTGTGGCAGCTCCAGTAGCGAAAGAAAACTAGGTCCACTTACTGTCTCCAAGGCTGAGGCCACCATTTCCTCTTCCTTGTGGGACTGAAGCTCAATTACCATGACGCCACTGTCAAAAACTCGGAGCCTAAAAACCACAGGAGGGAGAACAAAGTCCTGAATATCTAGGATCTTCAGAAATGATGAAGGTGCGATTATTTTTTTTTAATAATTTATTTTTATTTATTCATACAGAACTGGAGTATAAGGCAGAGGTGCAGGGTACAAGGTACAGAACTGGAGTACAAGGCAGAGAGGCTTCACTAGAGACAGAGTGGGGAGCAGAACAGGCTGACTGGTGAAGTACACTGCTGAGGGGAGCAGCAGGCAAGTCAAGAGCGGTCTGCTGAGCCATGTGGGTCACCTCCGGGGCCAGGAATCTAACTCGCACTGAAGAGGCTGTGGCCAGCTTGCAGTGCTGTATCCTAACCCGCTGTACCACCAAGGAAGGCCTGGTGCGATTATTTTTTACTTTCTTTATGCCCAGGTATAAGAGAAATATTAACACAAAACTACATTTAAAACATAACTACTGCAAGTAACTATGGCATATTTTTTAAAATTATGAACTATAATCTACATCTTAAATAAAATGTCTGGCTACTTTTTCTTTAAGCCTGTAGATAAGGGAAATATAATTTGCAGCTGAACATTTGCACTTCTTACTCTCCAGAGACTAAAACAATATGTCTAAGGGGAGGGAGGCTGGTTATGCTGACCTTAAAGGGAGGAACCTACATTCTTATCTCTCTGCCCCAAGTGGGCAGGCGGCCCACTGCTACTCCTTAGGCCACACACTGCCCTGGCTGGGAGCCAGGATGACAGAGGTGCTGTGGCAGCCACGAGTTCAGTCCACAATTAACATAATTTCAAGAGGGCAGTGTTTGGTTTGCCAAGCATGATGGCAGAGCTGACAGGCCTTTCCTGTCTAATTTGTGCAGAGTCGTAGTTACAGCTGGCAGACTTCCTGAGCTCTCTTACCTGAGCGGTAATTTCAGCGCCTCCAGCATCTTGCATGCATTCACTAAATCTTCTGGTGAGAGCAACTAATAGGGAAAAAAATCCAGTTTACACTGCAAATTAATAGAGTGATGCCATATAATTATAGTGATCACTAAAACAGATAAAAAATGTTTATCACTTATCAAGGGCTTTAGATGACTTAATCACTACAGTAAAAAGGATTAACAAAAGCAGAGCCATCTAATAGAAACATAATGCAAGTACTTTGAAAGTTCTAGTAGCCACATTAAAAAAATAGGTAAAATTTTAATACAGGTACTTCATTTAACCCAATAGATCAAGACATTCAACATACAATTAATATAAAAATTATTAATGAAATATTTATCATTTATTTTGTACTAAGTCTTCTAAGTCCATGTATACATTACATTTACAGCACATCTCACTTTGGATTAACTAGATTTCAGGTTCACTACTGACACAGTATCTTGCAAGTGGCTGCCCGTCTGAACCACACAACCCTGAAGGAACCGTACAGTGACAAGCACAGCTGGAGTCACACAGAGCGGCTCTGGAGCCAACCCAGGCCATGCCAATCCCTGCTAACCACAGTCTCTGAGTGCAGCCTGGTCATGTGGTTTTATCTTTGTAAGTCTCAGCTTTCTGAACCCCTAAGTAGCCTCCTCCCCACCCCCCATCTACCTAGGTAAGGATAATGTAAGTAGCTACCTCTGAGTTACTGAGAAGATGCATGAGGTAGCCCGAGCAGAGGTGTCTGGGGAACAGTGAGTACTATGGCGACAATTCAGAAAACACAGCAGAAGCTTAACTTGTGGGACTGGGGAGAGCAATGGGAAGATCTGTGTGAGTCATCTGAACTGTGGATACCATCTAACTCACTGCTAAGGCACAGTGCACAGTGTTGGAGGCAAGGATGTTGGGGTGATGAGAAGTGAAGAAGAGCTGCTACTGAATCACTCTGGGTTACCGCCAGGCACTATGCATCCACCTCAGCTAACTCCACACTTAACTATCAGAGACAAAAAGATACATCACGCAGAGCCTTATATGATACAATACAAATATAGAGTATTAAAGCCAAAAGACATCGATCACTCAATCTAAACCCTTCTTTGAAATGTCGAAAAAAACCTGTATTTCCAGACAGGTTAAGTAAGCCACTGAAGGTCACTCAGTAAATCTTTGGCAAAACCAGGCACAGTGTCTGTGTCTGAGACCCCAAGGTATTATTCTTTCCACTATATCCTGCTTCTCAAAATTGTTTGGATACTCAACTGTATAATAGGAGAATTTATATTATATCCAAAAAGTCTGAATTTCTTACCTCCATTCCTCGAGCTCGGTTTACTAAACAGTACACCTCTGTGAGAGACATTATTCCTCCTCGTTCCTTTGAAGTATGAAATTAAAAAATGTATGTTACAACTAGCACCAGTACCCTCCCTTAACAGAATTCATCATCAGAGTGAAATCAGAAGTCATAACATTTCCTAGGAGGCCTTTAAAAATAATACTTACAAAAAAAAAAAATAATACTTACATGGGAACCTATTTAGATGCCATGAGGCATTTCAAATTCAGTTAATGTCTTATTTCTGTTTTAACATTACTGAAATGAAAAGAAGGTTCTATACCATGTTTCAAAAAATGTGTTTACGTGTTTTAAATTATTTAAGCTAATAAATGAAAAAAATTATAGAATTAAATAAAACTATCACTCTTTTGCAACTTGAATGAAGCAACAATCTAGCAACAAAAAAAGGCAATCAGACATTCTGTACCTCCTGATGTAAATGTACCTTCTATGAAATATTCTATTCATAAAAAAAAAAAAAGCCTAGATATAACAGCCAGTTTACAGGGAAGCATGCTACCATATAAGTTAGCAAGAGATACTCTATAAGATAAATTACTAGTTTCTTCAATAAATAATGTCAGGGCAGGGGGAGGGAGAATGAGAGGGGAGAAACCTATGCAATTAAAAAAAAACCGACTTGAGAGACAAATCAGTCCATTGCAGTGTACACTGACTTGAACAAACCACCTGTAAGAGAAAGTGTGAATCCTAACTAAGTATTTCATATTCTCAAAATTATTTTTAACTTTTTAGGTGTGAAACTGGGTTATTATTATATCCAAAGGCATCTTTATCACTATAGTTACATGCTGAAAACCTTACAAAGTGATGTCTGGGCCTGGCTTTAAAATAAATTTGAGTGGAGGCTGGCTTGCAGGTGAAGCTGAATGACAGGCCAGTAGGGGTTCATTAGCCTACTCTATTTTGCCAGGTGTTTCCAGTATTTCCTAATATAAGTGCTTTAATAAGTAGCTTGATTGCCTCAATAGTGTTAGACTAGACAATCTGTATAATGAAATTACAAATAGTAGATTGCATTATCAAGACTAGATAATATGGAATATATCTAAGTACATAAAGATCATATATTTTCTTTTGAAAATAGAAGAAAAACCTCATGTCAAGTAGATTTAGAAACTTAAGATATCTGAAGTGGAAAAAGAAAATTTAGAAGCTCACTGACTAAGAATCTATTAGCAAGTACTAAACTAATTTTGTATTCCTGAAAGGAAGAGTAACATGTTGGTTGAACAGGAACCACATCATGAAAGAATGTTAACATTTCTGATGACATGCACATAATTAAACACAACTGAAAAAGGCCATTTAGGTTTTGCTTTTACCTCTAAAGGTGCCTGCAATATTCCAACCAGCTGTTTGGCCAGCTGCATGTGGTACTGTGTGCCAGAGCCGTAGGTTTCCCTGGTGACTGGGTTTGCTATCCCCATGCTCAGCAAATAGGATTTAAATCTGATGGTCTATGAAGATAGAGGAAAATATACAGAAAGAAGCTGTAGAATTAGTCTACCATTCCAACATTTGAAATTCTTCCAGCATAAATTCAATTGTATTCAATTATTTCTATATCTACCCTTTCTTTTGTTGTGTTTTTATACTGTAAATTATAAGAAAGTAATTTTCTAGTATTTCCTGTATAAATCTAATTACTATTCTTCTTTTTCCAGTCCTGGTATCTTATATTACATTTATTTCACTACTTTGATATGAGATTTAGATAATAACTATTCTATATTTAATGCCAACCAAATGATACAACTGAAAACTTAAAAAGGAAAAGGGCTAAACCAAATTGTAGACAATTATGATGAAACAGTTATCAAATGTATGGATATGCATAAAATAGCCACAGCCTTAGACATTTCAATCTCTGCTTTCTACACTTCAAAAAAAAGGTATATAAGTGACTTTTTCTTTTGCACTTTCATATATCTTCAAGTATTAAAAAATAAAATGCTACAAGGAAGCAAGCTGAAAAACCACCAAAATGTCACTGCATTATTTGTGATTTACTTCCTAATACCTTATAAAGTAACTTATTTACCTCATCTTCTGTGATATCACCTTGTTTGTCTTTAATCTTATTAGCAATTGATTTTGACAACTCCACCATTTCTTTAGCCTATCGAGAAAACAGCGAAAGATTAAAAAGAAATAATATCCTAAAGTGTTTGCTAATATATTTTCAAAACTGTACGAGTTTTGAAATAATTGGTATGAGTTTAATAGGTGTAAATAACATATACCTTGACCATGAGCTTGCTGAGGTCTTCAAAGGCCTGAAATGAGAAATGGTTTTTTTTTTTTTTATTATAGCCTAAGAATCAAAACACCTTAAGCAATGAACACTCTATTTCTTTCCGTATGAAAAAAATTTATAAAATTTTCTTATAATTTATGTAAATATTGTACAAGTACTAAACCTACCTTATTCTAAGAGTTAAATCTAGCTAAGAAACCATAAATTTCCCACAACAAATTACAAAAAGTCTAATTATCAAAAAGTTGCTATTGATTAGGCAAACAGAGATGACATAAATAATAGTTCAGACAGTATTACTTATAATTCTTGACACAAGTAAGAAAATTTGTCACTGTTTTTTTCCTCCAAACCCATTTCCTGACAGGAGGGCAAGAATTAAAGCATTGTCAAGCTTTCCTGTCTGAAAATGGCAATAGGCAGCTGCAGGAATACTTCTATGGGCACAATTCTGGCTTTAATAATAGCAGGTGTGAATTAACTGAGAGCATAAACCTCAACCTCTAACTGTTGACCAGATTATACTTGTAGCTTTGGACACAGTGAATAACACAAAATAAAAACATTCAAATGCCACTAAGACAAATCTAAATAACCTCCCCTCCCAAGTATTTAATTTGACGACGTACATCCATTTTGAGGGCCTATTCCAACTTAATCATACATATTTGCATGGTATAACTACTTCAGGTTACCAAAAGTATATTTCCATTGAAGAATATCTCATGTCTAAGTGATGTGCACAGATGTTATTTTTTAAAATCAATTAAGCACATATATTAAAGTGGGCCATCATGAGCTCTGGTGAGCTCATGCCAGCCTTAATTATATGCAGGAAAGTGTCCCCCATCTGCAAAACACTTTTGTTAAAAGAACAGAGTGTTGTATAAGATTCTTATGGCCAGCTCAATAAGGCTAATACTAAAAACAAAGGGGAATGTGCACACACCTAACAGGAATTTCCTCTGATAAACAAAGCCTTAAACACTGGATTCTTATCAGCAACAGCCAGCAAATGCAGGAAACCTTTTGTGGGAAACTCAGGGCACCAGCTCTGAAACCAAATCAATTCTAACATTTAAATGGGGGTGGGGGAGGGGAACAAATCATACAGCAGCCTAGTTTTCAGATATAGAACCCACAAACACTTTAGACAATTAAATTCTTACAATATACAGAATTTCTTTCACTTATGTAAAGAAAGCTAGAAAGAGAACATGTAAAATTTGTTCTATGGTAAATCTCTTTACTATATTTTCATAGATGAAACAAGAAGCTAAAGCCACTTCCACATGAGTTCAATTCCCGCCTGCCCCGGAGGTGACCACATGGTGTTTCAGACCTCTCCTGACCCACCCGCTGCTCCCCTCAGCAGTGTACTTCATCGATCTGCCTGTTCTGCTCCCCTCTGTCTCTGGTGAAGCCTCTAGCCTGTACCCCAGTTCTGTATACACAAATAAATAAATCTTTTTTTTTAAAAAAAAGAATCATCTATGAGTTATTTTAAGTAATTATTAAAATACAAAGAAGCTTCATTTCTTTTATTTCTATTTTCATTCTAAAATGTAGTATTAGTGTTTCCATCGCAGCCTCTATTTCTTTTAACAAGGCATTTCTCACACTGCAGAGAAGGCTGTTCCCCTGCTGAACTCTGGGCGTTACCACAGTACCCACAGCGTCACAAAGCACAGTGATAACTCTGCTGAATAGATCAGTGACTTGCATAACTGGTGTGAGGATTCAGGTGCCGTACACCACTCAATGAAGATAGATTGGAACAAAATAACATTCCATAAATTAAGGGGAACATTGCAAGCACCAACTTAGTATGCCCACATTCAAAAAAGGGATATGAATAATACACAATTAGTTCACTGCTGCCTGCCAGCTCCACAGGTATCAGATAAACACAATGACGTGGAAGTCACTGCAAAAGCAGGTAATGGTGACCTCTGGGTAGGAAACAGAGTGGTCACAACACAGTGGCCTAAAGCTGCCTGTAAATCAAGACACCATTAAGGCCAGAATGCCAGAACTTTATGGGGATAAAGGATTTTTTTAATGTCTCCAAGTCCCAACATAAAAACCACAGAGCAACTGGATCTCAAAATCAAAAACCCATATACTACAAAACTAAATGACATGATACCCACACACAAAACAACAACAACAAAAAAAACCTCACAAGATTGGCAGGTGGAGACAAAGACCTGCAGAACTGCATCTAGGCAAGAGAGAAATGGGGAAGCAATGGGGGTACACAACAGATCTGGGAATAAGAGAACTCCGTAAGACCCACAGGTATGCCCTGAACAGTGAGACAGACTAACCTCACCACTGCGACTAAACAGGGCGGGCTGGGCACATTTGGGAGGTGAGGGGGGTCACTTGACCCCAGTAAAGTCTACAGCATCTCTGTGCTCTTGAAACTGACCCTCTGGTCTTCCTTTTCTGAACAGGAGACCACACTGGGGAGAAACTACTGAGAGAGGAAAGAAGAAAAGGTCCAGATAAAAACAGGGATGGGAACAGGAAGTCACAATAAGCAAGCCTTTCTAAGAATGCATGAAAACAGCTTAAGTGTGAGCTCAATGGAATAAAAAAAAATTACCTTGACCTAGGTCTTCTTCTAAAATTTCAGGAAAATTAATTTCACATAAGAATTAGCAACAACAAAGTTATCAAGGTCAAATTCCACATAAAGTTATTAAAAGAAAAAGGGAAATGAGGAGAATAACAGGAGAGACAATGAAAGCATGTCAGGAAGACATGCTCATAGGTCAGATCAAAATTAAAAATTTTATCTCGTTATTGACAATTACAATACATAAAAACTTGCCTGAATTTTTTTGAATTTCTTCACCAAATGTTGAAAGTACATTATATAACTGAGTGAAACAACCCAGAATAACTACCACACATGCATATTCTAGTAAAATCACTAGACTGTACAGAAGTATATTCTAGTAAATCTTTCATATTCTAGTAAAATTACTAGACTTTATAGAAGTACCAAAATCTTTTGGGCAACTGATTTTTAAAGAGGGAAAATAGGATTGCTATCACAATTTAACAGCAACATTCATGCCACACAAAAAAATTGACAGTCACAGAATGAAGGCACTCAAGGAAAGGAAAAGTGAGCAACAATTTTAGATCCAACAAAACTGATTTTCATGTATAAGAAATACCAAACATGCCAGAACTCCATGAGCACTCTGAAAACTGTTTCAGAGGATGAGCTTCAGACAAGCAAAATGCATAGAGGGAGATCAACATAACAGCTATTGTATTCCATATACTGTTACTTTAAAACTCAGACTAAATGAGAGCAGGAAGGGGAAAAATGTGCGTAATGGCTGAATACTCAGTTGCTGTGAAAACAGAACACCTATTTTTAAAACACAGAAAAGCACATACAAAAACTCTTTTTAACTGTTTTCTAATGTTTGATGATGTAGTCCTGAATCTGAAGAGGAAGTGAACTCATGAGGCACTGAAAAAAATCCCAGCTCTTCCCACTGAAAAGGACTAGACATAATCCAATGGGGATGTAGATTCCTAGCAGGCAGGCGGTGGTTCTGTTATACTGTTGCCTACTTAAAAGAAACCAAAGCTTCTCAGATAATGGTTGATACTAGAAGGTACTAGAGCATTGTCACATCAGGTAACCAGGAGAATATGAAAGTTCACCAGGTCACATCACAAGCACTCAGGAGGCCAACCTGAGAGACTCCCACTGGACAAAGATGGGACAATTTGAGCAGTGGATAATAATTGGGACGGGTGGAAGCCTTCCAAATAAGTTAAAATTATGAATTCATAATAAGTAAAAAGAACACTAATCGGTCCTCTTTGGGGGACAATAAGGAGCCAATTTCTTTCTGATGATAAAGGAGAAATATACCTATCTTGCCTTCTCTATATGAACTATATCACTAAGTAGCCAAACAGTAGATGAAGGGAAGTGACTCTGAAATGTATTCTAGCAAGTGAAAATTAATCACAGAATTTCATCATTTGCAGCCACCAATGAACAACAGATGTGTGCACTAAACATCAACAACTCCTAACATCATAGAAAGAGCCATGATGTGCCTCCTCTAGTCTCACCAAACATGAGCCTGACCAAGTCTCTGGATCTAGCTATCAATTTGCAGGAAATACACAAGACCAAGCCATGTATAGCTTTAATATAAACATACACTCTTCAAAACCTTAACAGTGGGAACACACTTTAGGTCAAACCACTTTTTTGGTTCCTCAACAATTAATCTGTATTTTCAATTCATGAATTCAGAATAGGAATGATGATTATTAATTTTGTGTCAACTTGACCAGAACATGGAGTACCCAGGTATTTGATCAAAGATCATTCTGAGTGTGTCTGTGAGGGTATTTTCATCCTCAGTAGGTTTAGTAAAACAGAATGAATTCTTTTTAACTATAGTCCTGAGGGTACACATCATACAGTGAGTCTGTTGCAGGCCTGACAGAACAAAAAGTTGGAGAAGAAAGAATTCACTCTTCCTCTGCCTGCCTGCTGGAACTGAGTCATATCCTGCCCTTCAGCTAGGAGTTAACACCTTTAGTGCTCCTGGTTCTTAGGCCTTAGGATTCAGAATAGAATTTATATCACTAGCTTCCCTGGGTCACCAGTTTGTAGGTGGCAAACTGTGGGACTTCTCAGCCCCTATAGTCACTAAGCCAATTCCTTATAATAAATCCCACTGTGTGTATCTATATATGTGTGTGTGTATGGAGAGAGAGGTATAGAACTTGTTCATTGATTCCTTTTTTTGGAAAACCTTGATTAACTCTGGTATTAAGTAACTACTTGCAAATTTAGACTTTAAGATACAATCTTGAAATTCTAGCAACAACACTCATCAGTGGAATTTTATTTACAAACTTATGGAAACTAAAGAATTACTTCATAGCATTATTTCATAAAAATCCAAGACCATTTTTATATAAATGTGGGGAAAACATGATGTTTAGATGTATTAATTACAGATTAACTTGTTCTTTAAAAAAAAAAAAAAGATTTATTTATTTATTCATATAGAACTGGGGTGCAGGCCAGAGGTGCAGGGGCAGTGAGAGGGACTTACCAAGTGGGAAGCAGAACAGGCAGACTGACCAAGTACACTGCTGAGGGGAGCAACGGGTGGGTCACCTATGGGGTGAGGATCGAACTCGAACTGAAGTAGCTGCAGCTAGCTTGCAGTGCTGAGCTTTAACCTGCTGCACCATCAGGGAGGGCCTAATAAACTTTTTCTTAACAAGAGGTTTTTTCCCCTTTGTCTGAATTTTCTCATGTATGGTAAACGTTCAAAAACACATAATATATCTGCTGAGGGTTGTTCTAGTAGAAGTGATGTGTTGGTTTGAGCCACTACTGCCTCTGTGTCTATCCCCTGGGTGGCTCTCAGCACCCAGGACTCAGTCTGCCCAGGACCAGTAGCCAGAGAGCAGCATTTTTCTTTTACTTAATTTTTTTAAAAATTATTTTTGTGTATATGTAGAACTAGAGTGTAGGCCAGAGGTGAAGGGGGTTAGCTATGTAGTTCAGTAAATTCTCCTGTTCTGCTCCCCCCTCTGGCTCTGGTGGTCCTTTCAGCTCTGCACCTCTGGCATTTTTCTAACTAAAGTTAGTCAAATGTCCAAAATAATTGAACAGAGGACTCTGAGTGGATTAGTTATACTGTAGTTCTATCCTGAAATAGAAATATCTTGCAGTGACTCTATTTAGACTTTGGAATTTACATATAACAATCTATGATTAATATCATGGAATACAAATATATGTTTCTTTTTATTCCTTTTCAGCAAAAGCTTTTTAAAACATGTTTTGGCTTTATTATGCCAACCTGAAAAAGACCTGTTGAGTAGAATAAGACTGTGATTTCAGGCAAACTAAATCGATTCAAATGTATACAACTGGAATTAGTCACAGCTGTCTCCAAAAAAATAACCACAAATTGCTGGATTTGTATAATAGTTACCTCAGAAATGTTTTTGTCAGTTTCTTTTCTTTTTTCTTCCAGTTTCCTTTCAATACCTACAATTCCTACAGCCCTTATTCTTCCTGGCTGAAAAACAAAGTAGAAAATAAAACATACAAGGTAGAAAGGACACACTCTTTTGGAACTTCCACAGTAGGTTTTCAATAGTGGGAAAGGGTCCACAAAAGACCAAAGATAAACAGCATGCAATTATATCTAGTTTCCTTTCAAAACAAGTCTGTTTCTTTCCATACACAATATTCTTCAAATCCTTATAAATAAAAAGTGAACATATAATAAATGGCATGGTCTACTCTGTATATTAAACATAAATTTCTCTCTCTCGCTCTTTTTTTTTGTACTTTGGCAAGCAATGTACAATATATGCTTCAGATATTTAATATAGGCTCAAAGATGCACTAAAAAAGAGTCTATCAAAATTTTGGTACTTGACAGTTAGTACATGAGCTACTTTTACACATTTGGGTATCTTTCCAGATTAGTGATTAACACAGATTTTTATCACAGCCAGGTAGTGTGTCCTATCAAATGTCACAAAGACTATGACAATGGACTGCAGCAAATGGAGTATAGCTTTTATTACCCAAGAAGTACACTGGAGAGCAGTCATTTTCTTTTTACTAAGTATCTAACCGTCTACAGAGCATTAAATTAGGTGTTGTGAAAATGTATCCTTCTCCTCATATCATTATTTTGTTTCTGGACAGTTCTGTCATCCCAGAAATCTCTTTCCATAATGAAGATGCAAGGACAGAGCCAAAAATACTTGATTAGGAAACAGTTTAAGAAATACCTGGGGTCCTCTATTTGCTTGTAATGACTGAGAAACTGGCATAGTCTCCCATCTTCTCTGTGTCATTTCCTCTGATAAACGCCTGTAAAACTGTTACATGATACATACTTTAAATGAATCACTCTTGTACCAGTCATTATTTAACATTGCTTTAGCAGAAAGAGCTGTTCAGTCATTTGCAATAGGCCAAGAATTCGCAGACATCAAAGAAAATCAAAGGAAGTTCTTTTCTTGGATCAAGTTCAGAAAGGACAAAGAAAAAAAAAAAAAGGAACTGACCTTCTATATAAAGTCAGCTATTCTCAACAAAGAGATGAGTGACAATGAAATAAATAGACTTTAAACAATCCTGCCTATGTGGATTGTTTTCAATCTATAGGAAAACAGTCGCAGTGCCAAGAAAAATATACAATCATTATCCCCATAAAGGAAACAGAATACGTGTGTAGTTAAAATCTGAAGCCAGAAATTAGGGTCAAAACATTCCTACACTCACAAAATATCAACTACATTTCCAACTTCAGTGAGAATGACTTCAGTTAGTCATTTAGTTTAATGCCCACTATATGAGGCACTCTGGGTGGAGAACTCTAGAAAAAAGAACATAAGAAATATACGATCTTGATTGAGAAACATAAACTTGTAAATGGCTTAAGAATGCTTATATAGCAACCTACTCATAAAATACATAAACAATTATACTATGACAAAATTACTTTAGTGATTAGATTCGTTTGGAGTTAATCAAGCTATACCATTTGACTGAAGGATGATGAGCTTCCAGAGACTGAGGTAGTTTAACATTTCACACATTATATTCTGTCCCTTGAACCCAACCTAAAGGCTCAAGCCCTTCCTAGTAGCCTGAGGACATGACTTGGCCTATATCGAGCCAGTGCTGTTTCCTCCTGACCACACCCTCCAGCTTCCCAGCTCCACTGAAATCCAAACTTCATTCACATTCTGTACTGGTAAGACTTACTGTATTGTAAAAATGTCACTATAACAGTAGCACAGAATCTGCTATGTTGGACACGGTTGCCTTCCATCACATTCACAAACAACAACAAAAACATATACAAACACACATTTCTAGTCCAGTTTTGTTCACAAAGACATTTACCTCGATCTGGCCATGTTCTTTGAAAGAGAGTTTGATGTAGGAGTTCTTACTACTCTGGAATGGACCAGGTTCTCTGTGAGCAGGAGCTGGATGAAGATGAACCACTATTTTGGCACTAAAAAAGTAAATGCCATATTTAACTACTTTTTAGAAAGTCACTAATTTTATTTTCCTAACTTTTAACATATTTCAGGTCACTTTTAACATAGCAGTAAAGAACATCCTAAAAGAAATCCTTTAAAAGTCTGTGTTAATTAGCTTTTCAAAAATATTTCTACTTAAAATTTAAAGTTATAAACTAAAGTTCAAGTTACTAGCTATATAGATTAAATTAAATGTAGTTTTAGGAAATAATAATAATATAAATATAAATAATAACAAAAATTTGTAAAATTTGGGGCTTTATGATTTTGGTTGATGATTAGGGTTTCCCATGTGTAGGGTCATCCCCAGAAGTAAGCAGATGCTTATAATTTCTGCCAAAGCATGCTAATCACTAATTGAAAAACAAAATGTGAAAACTGATGTGTGTAAAACTGATCAGCTGACGTTTTACTAAAACTCCATCCAAAACTAACATTCTGCAATGTCATTTTGGAAAGTGCCATTCAATCAATAACATGAACGAAGAAGATAACCAACAGCAAAAACAATTCTCAAAATGTTGTTTTAAGAACACAAACTATTATATCTTTACAACTACTGTTATCTTCTGGGCAATTAAAAATACTGTTATTATTTTGTTGTTTTAAAGTCTACTCTCCCTGACTTAAGGTCTTCTTGGTGGCACAATGGGTTAAAGCATAGCATATGAAGCTACCTGCACCCACTGAAGCACAAGTTCAACCCCCAGCCAGGGAGCTGACCCACAGGGCGTGGCAGACCTCTCCTAGCTTGTCTGCTGCTCCCCTCAGCAGTGCATTTCAGTCAGTCTGCCTGTTCTGCTTCCAAGTCTGTCTCTGGTGAATGCTCTCACCGCAAACCACCCCACCCCACCTCCCCGCACACACACACCTATGGCCTGAGCCCCAGTTCTGTATGTATAAATAAATAAATCTTAAAAATAAAAAAAGTCTGCTCTCCCTTTCTTTTTCCCATCTCTTGCTCAGTAAACAATCTTTTTCAGAGTTGATAAAGCTAAAAAACTCATCATCAGGTATCTCAGGTACTTAGCTTAGCTTTTTCTCTATAACCGCATTACAACGTTACCCATTACTCAATTTTACTATGTTTAGGCACATGTGGTTGACTAAAAATGATTGTAAAATTGAAAAATGAGGGTGGGCCCATACTCTGTATAAGGAGTGCTTGGTTAGTGAACTGGGAGCAGCCTCATAGGGACTCTATGTTATTCCTCTGTAGCGAACACTGTTAAGTGAGATGAGCAAATAAATTGTGCAAGGAGAATGTTTGAAATGAACTGTCAAATACAGCACAAAACTATGACATTAAGGACAGGGTGAGGCCTCCCTGGTGGCCTCGGGGTTAAATCTCAGCGCTAGCACCACCATGGCCTGAGTTCATATACAATCATGGCACAATCATAAATCAATAAGTTAAACTATAATAGTTTGACAGGATACTTTTCTTTTTTAGTGAATAAAGATTGTACTATATTGAACTTACCTTTTCCCAATTCCAGCTGCCTGTTCTTCAATGAACACAATCTGGGAAAGAGGAATAGCCATGCAGTACTCCTACCAGGAAATCAATAACAAAGTCAATGAAAAATTCCTAACACCCCTTGGGAATCTGTATTTTATGGAGTAGCATACACCTTGGAGCTACTTAAAAAAAAAACGTTATTTTAAACCCGCAGGGATTACAATTGAGATGGAAAAAAAAATGTACAAAATGATGTAAAAATAGACTTATAAAATTTTAAAAAAAAACGTTATTTTGTTCTTTAAATATACTTAAGGAGAAATTAAACATTGTGAAAAATTGAACAATGATGTAAAACATATACATATAAAATAAAGAGGGCTCTCCCTGGTGGCACAATGGGTTAAAGCACCTCATTATGAAGCTCTCCAAAGCCACTGCAGCACAAGTTCAATCCCTGCCAGGGAGGTGACCACATGGTGTGGCAGACCTCTCCTGTACCACCCACTGCTCCCTTTAGTAGTGTACTTTATCAGTCAGCCTGTTCTGCTCCCCATTCTGTCTCTGGTGAATCCTCTCACCCACCACACCTCTGGCCTGTACCCTAGTTCTGTAAGCATAAATAAATAAATCTTAACATATATATATATACATACACACACACACACATATACACACACATATAAATATACACATATATAAAATAAAGTTTAAAAATGCAAATAGGGGAAACAGAATACAAACAATACAGTGGTGGCATTTTGCTACAGGGAAGAACATAAGAGATTCAAAACCAGTTGTAACTACCTTCACTTTCATGGTAAGTACATCTTTTTTAACCTCCTGCTGGTGTAGTGGGTTAAAGCACAGCACTGTGAAGCTATCTGCAGCATGAGTTCAACCCCCAGCCAAAGAGGTGACCCACATGGTGTGGTAGACCTCTGCTGTCCCACCTGCTGCTCCCCTCAGCAGAGTGTTTTCAGTCAAACTGCCTGTTCTGCTCCCCACTGTAATGAATCCTTCCTATTCCTCTGGCCTGTACCCCAGTTCTTGCATGTATAAATAAATCTTTAAAAAAATAAAATAAATTACTTATATGAACATTTTTTACACGTTATAAAGACTTATATGGAAAGCAAAGTATAAACCAGATAAAACCATTTTAAGTAGTATATAATACTGGTGATTTTTCTTTTTTATAATGTTTTCTACTTCCCTCTCACCCAATCCACAGCTTTCAACAGAAAATGATGATGTACCTTCCCCTCTATTTAATTTAATTTCCAAATTACTACAAATAACTGGCACTTAATAGGTCTAAGGATTTCTAAGTTAGTCTCTTAATATTATACTTATAAATTATACACATATAATTTATAAACATATATTTAATAACACCCATTCTTCCTAAAAGATTTCTTTCCTGAGTATATATTCCTTTTAAAAGAATCAAGCAGCATTAACAGTTTTAAGGCATGCATTATCAACAGGGGCAATACTGTCACTAAGGGTGCAAAAACTGCTCTTGGGGGACAAAAAAAAAATGTTTTAGATTTAGCATGGTTAATGGTCCTTCAAAAGGCCACAGCTCAGTATATAGCTTACATGTGTTACTGAAATTTCATGGATGTGGAGTTAGGAAAATAGTGAAGACATAATGTTACTTGTAACACTGAAGTACACATACTTTTAAGTGAAAGCTGTTGGAAATAAAGATATTAGCTCTATACACTGACATGCTCTCCCTTTCTAGTAATAAAGAAAGGAGGGTTTCTCTTCTAGTGGAGTGGCTTGGAGGCAGTTCTCAATACACAGAAAAATCAAGCACTTCATGGCAGATCTGGCCTCCAGATCTCAACAAGGGCCAGAGGCAAGTGGGGTGGGGAGGGGAATTCTGAGGATCTATGAGTCTTTTTTTAAGGACAACTAACAAATGATGGGATAATGACCTATGGAAGATTATGGAGTAAGATATGAGTGGTGTTTAAAAACAGGAGTCCCCGGCCCTCCCTGGTGGCGCAGCGGGTTAAAGCACAGCACTAAGAAGCTTAGGCCAATTCCGCATGAGTTCGATCCCCGCCTGCCCCGGAGGAGATCCACATGGCGCGGCAGACCTCTCCTGACCCTACCGCTGCTCCCCTCAGCAGTGTACTTCGTCAATCTGCCTGTTCTGCTCCCCACTCTGTCTCTGGTGAATCCTCTCACCCTCCACATCTCTGGCCTGTACCCCAGTTCTGTATGAATAAATAAATAAATCTTAAAAAAAAAAAAAAAAAACAGGAGTCCCCATGATTCTCGACTCAGTATATAGACTTTATTAGAAGTTAATGAAAGGCAGGGTTTTAACTCTATTCACAGAGATAATGTTGATACAGTATTGACATTTTAAAAAGAAGCATACTACATCAATTCATATTTCTGCCAGTGATTTAAAACTGAGAACAAATAGAAAAAAAATGGTATCTTACATGATTTTTCTGGTCTCTCCAAATTAGTCGGTGTGTACTAAGAAGAAGGGTCCCTGCATCAAATTTAATCTAGAAATACAAAATCATAAAATGTCATTAACATTCAATGTGGTCCAGATGTTGTTCTTCATAAATTACAGAATAGTAAGTTAATCATATAAATAAAAACTTACCATTAGGCTTATCACAAATTAGGCTTTTCACAAATTAAACAGAAGCTGTTATATACTATTAAGTCCTCTACAAATCAATGGGGGAAACAGCCTGTAATCCATTAAAGAAAGGGACAAAAACTACAGCAAGTTCACAGAAAACAAATTACAAATGACTCTTAAACACATTAGTAGGTACCCAACCACACCGATATAATAAAAGGGTAAGTTAAGAAATACAAAATCCCTCTTTTCATCCATGAAATTAGCTTTCTTCCTTCCAAAGTTTGGCAACAATAAGCATTCACACACATTGTGAGGGAAATCTCTATGGAGGGAAATTTTTAAATATCTACCAAAAATATAAACGCACATATTCTCTGATCCAATATCTGCACTTACAGTAATTTATCCCATGGGTAAGTTTATCCATGGGATAAATTTGCACAAATGCTTGTAAGAAACAAAAGATGGGAAAAAATTTAAGCATTCATCAACAGAAAAATGTACATCAACACAATGAATACTATACAGTCATTAAAAAGAATGAGGAGGCCCTCCCTGGTGGCGCAGCGGGTTAAAGCACAGCATTAAGAGGCTAAAGCCACCTCTGCATGAGTTCGATTCCCGCCTACCCTGGAGGTGACCACATGGC